CACTTTTCCAATTAAAAAACAAAACTGAGCAACCAATTATTTAATGTGTTTGAACCTATGGGGACAGTTTCGAGGGGAAAAAAAAAAGAGACAAATAGGAGACCAAACAAAAAACAAAAATGAAGAAAAAAATTTAACTCCAAGAGATTTAATTATAGTATACCATAAAGTTCAACAGTGAACATATTTACAAAGTCACAATGTAAACGATTAACAAAGATTTAACCAAAACTGTGCTATAACTATATTGGGAGATAAAAGGAGAGGAAGTCCAAGGTAGCATGAGCACCCCAAAGCACAGACTCATCTTCCACAGCAGGAAGCCAACAGACAGTATCCACAATTGACAATTAAGTATTTTAAAATATGAAAGTCCGTATCAGAGGAAACAGCTACAATCATGCAAACGGGCGCTGGAGAGCAGGACCCGGGAGGGAAAGCTACACGACAATGAGGCCAGGAGCTGGTGTTTCTCACTCTACATCCTGTGATACAATTGTTCTTTTTCACTGCACAGGTGTACTATTTAAAGTCAGAAACAAAAGTGTTATTAAAGCAACTAGTGGTTTTCGTATCATTTAACACAAATTATCTCACTCGCCCCACAAATATGATTGACTATGGTGCCAGGCACCGCTCTATGTGCTAGGAATGCAAACGACAGTGAGTAAAATCCAGCCTTTGCCTTCACCAAGCTCACATCCAGAGGGAAGCAGATAATAAATTGATGTATGCCATAATGTCGGATAAACTGATGTTGTGGGAAAAAATACAGGAAAGGGTAAAGTGTGACTGGGATGCTATTTAGGTCCAGCTTTCAGAAAAGGGCTCTCCAAGAATCAGCGAAAAGAAAAAATCACCTAAAAAGGAAAATCTATCTTGAGAAAAGGTTATATACGTAAAATAACAGAAGGGTATCCATTAAGTTTAAGGTGAGAGCTTCTTTTTAAGCCTCTCATACTCCAAAGCAATGTATCATTCAAGAGCTGGTACCAAAGGGGCTCCGTGGTGGCAGACATTTTTAAACTGCCAGGTGCCCCCAACCTAAGTTAAATGAACACTGATTTATGCTCTTCCTATGTCCTTAACTAGCCACTACTTATGAATGTGACTGAGTAAATTTACACTTAAACTTTTTTCTTTGCACAGAATAGGTCGATGTCAGACATTTCAAATTCTGGTGTTTTATTCCTAAGTTTTCCTAAATCAAAGACTCATTATGTTGATCGACAGATTCCAGATTAATTCCAAAGTTGGCAAATTTTATCATATCCAACCTTCATTCTCTCACTGAAGAGGGACTCTAAACCAATGGGAATGACACACATTTAAAGAAACAATTTATAGGGTAAAGCAATACTCTCTAAGGACGCTCACTCAGGATGAGGTAGTTTCAAGCTATTTGAATGATCTCTTCATTGAAAATTAAGTAACTTATAAAATATATTCAGGTTGAAGCAACAACTTTATGCCAAGCCAGCCACTGCACAAGAAAACCCTCAATCAAAAAGTAGAGTTGACTCTAACACTTATTTTCAAAACACTTATACCATTAGAAGTAAATTCAAACTCTCATTTTTATGCAGCAAAAAGGTAGTACTTTTAGATTTAAATAGGTTTGAAGGTTTGACTCACAAAAAGAAAAATTCAATGAACTACATTTCAATTGCTAGTTGAGTTTAAGGTCGAAAACGTATTTAAAGATTTCTGGAGGAGCAGCCCAGCTGCTGTGCGCTGCTATTCCGCTCCCAGACCCACCGTGCTCACGCTGCAGGGGCAGAGCATCTCATCACGGCAAGAGCCACCACTCGGGTGCTTCCCACCTCCAAGTCCGCTCCCTCCTCTGAAATGGAAATGATCTTAATGCCCACCTAGGGCCCTGTCAGCGAAAATACCAAAAGTATTAAGTGCCAATAATATATGAAAAAAACTACATAATTTGTAGAAAACAGCACCACTATTTGCCATGTTTTAATCAAAAAGGAATCCGATCGCTGTCAGTCAAACTTTTTGCTTTTTGCTATTAACGGTGGTTTATCAGACTCTAAGGAAGAACGGTGGGACAATGATCCCCTCACACACACAGCCAGAAGAAAAGATTTTTTAAAAATATACATTAAAAAAAAGAATTAAACTCCCTTATAAACATGCACCAAGAGAAAATATTTTTAGCAGATGTTTCACTTAAATGAGCCAAAAGAATAAAGTCGTCGAACCTCATGTAAACTCTGTGTCACCTGACTTCAGGCAGAATGTTTATTTTGATTTAGTTGGGAACCAGACACCCAATGGACATAAACATCTGCATAGTTTTAAAACAACTGTCTCACTGCTTTTGTTCACTCAGTAATAATTTCTACTATTCTTAGAATGAGAAAACACAAATACTACCTTAATCAAACAAACTCATCAGTGTCCTGGCCGGTGTGACTCTCAGTTGGTTGGAGTGTCATCCCTGTAACCAAAAGGTTGTAGGTTTGATTCCCAGTCAGGGCACCTACTCAAGTTGCAGGCACTGATTCCCTGTATGGGCCAATGGTAGGCAACTAATCCATGCTTCTCTCTTGCATTTTCCCTCTCCCTTCCTCTCTCTCTAAAAGCCATGGGGAAAAAATGTCACCGGGTGAGGATAAAAAAGAAATAAAAAAATAAAAACTCATCGGAGGAGATTTTACTTCTTAAACTAACATTAAACGGTGTTATCTGACAATGAAGTAGCAGACGATTTGCCCATTTACCCTTTAAGCTCCAGCAGGACACAGACCTTTTTCTTTAGGTACTCAATAAATATGTGTCAAATGAATGAATGAACCAACCAATGAATGAGCAAATGAATGAGTGAACCAATAAACTAAAGAAAGAACTAGGTCTCTGGAAAAAAGCTCAAATGTTTGAAGTTGCAACAGAACAATTTCACCTACATCTCCATCATTCACTACAAACGACTCTCTCAACTGTAACGACATAAGCTGACAAAGAACTGTGCTAGATAAACACACACAAACACATCACTCCCATGGATAACAGAAGTACGCAGAAGATTCACAAAGCCAGTTCTTTAGTTATATTTTCGCTCAGGAAATTCTGGTGTGTTCTTTTTGATAATGCAAGCCCATCTTCAAAGTTCTGTTGCAATCCTGAATAATTCAGGCAAAGTGAACAACATTTCCAGAGTCTACCAGACTATTTTGAAAGCCAAATTTCTTAATTCAAAGAAAAGTGGGATAAAATGGAAAAATAAGGTAGATATTACTACTTCAAAAGTAGACTTTTTAAAAAGAAAATAAACTGCTTAAAATGGAAATTACTGAAAGATTGAAATTATTCAAAAACCCCACTTAATGTCCTTATGTTTGATCTTTAAGCAAAGAGGTATTTTCCAAATCTTGGCAGTTAGGCAATCAACTTTATGCCTACAAAGCTTAAGTTAAAGGTTATTTTTATTAAAATAATACTGTTTGGATAAGTTCATAATCTTAAAAGTCTACAGTAAGACATTCAGCAGTAACAGTAACAAAAATTATATGTGTGATTCTACACACCTGTAGAAGCATAGCGATCGGGGTGGAACAGGTTTTTATGAACAGCAAGGTATGACCCGTGACCGCAAATACTGTATCTGCAAGGATCGAAAAGTTTCCCAAATTCTGATGGTCATCTCCAAAGAGACTTGAACAAGAGTGGGTCTGAGGGTGAACGCAGAAAAACACCAGTGAACTCATAAAAACACCGGTTCGAAAACAAGGGCTCTCTATAGCAATTACAGCATCGCACTTTAAAAACCCTGGGTACATGAAAGATAAAGCTCAACTGACTGCTGCCTGGGTTTCCTACTTTACGGTCTGAAACACTGGCTATTAGACGCTTCTTTTTGGCGCTTTCTTAAACAGAAATTTCGTGTTGCCATCGCCCCTCCTCCACAGCTAACACCAGTGCCCTCTCTTCCTCCTCCCTCACCCCTCCCAGTTCAAACAAATTAACATTTGTACAAGGTGCCTCCTATCAGCTCGCAGCTTCTTCCCAAACACGCCCACGTACACTGAAACTGGCCTGCGTCTACACAACACACGGCTACAGGAAAAGAGTCCAGGGGGGCTGCCCCGGAGATAACTCAGGACCGCACAGGTTTAGGGCTCTTTTGCAGATAAAAGCGCCTCACTCGGGGCTCGGCTTGCTCCCAAATTACCTCTAGAGCACGGTGTTTATGCGCCTACCTAATCTGATACTGCAATGGAATTCCGGATATTTGCAGACAGACAGCCTGGCTTTGCAAGTGTTTGATCAGAGCCGTCCAGAATCTCCTCCTTTCAATCTGCCGGCTCCGAGTAGTGCAGTCCCCGGACCTCCGGCAGCGCCCCCGACCCCACACCCCACACTCTGCCGCACGCCCGGCCAGAGGCCAGCGCAGCAGCAGCCTCTCCGGGTCCGAGCCTGCCGGGCGACTCAGGCCGTGGGTCGCTCCGCAACAGGTCACCCTGACAGGGACTGCGCGCTTCGCGGGCAGCCGGCTCAGCTGCGGGGCTTTGGGGACACCGCGGCCGGGGAGGGGGTGTGGCCGGCTCGGCGGTCCCCGCGCCCGCTCACCTGGAGGGAGGCGGAGGCGCTGCCGGGCGCCGGGCAGCGCGGGCGGGGGCCAGGGGCTTCGGCCACCCAGGAGCAAGAACCAGGCGAGAAGGGCTCGGGTGCTCGCCGCGCCCCCGGCTCCCAGACAGAGAACCGGCGCGGGGGCCCCCACAGCCGCCTCCTGACTCCGAGAGGGAGACGCGGAGAGAGGTGCTCCCGGCTCCTTCCTCCCCCAGCCTGAGCCCCGCCGCCCCCTTCCCGCGCCGAGGACGAGCAGCCCGGGGCCGCAGCCCGGAGTTCAACACACGCAGCCGCCGCCATTCACCGCGGCGCCGCCGCTACGGCTCAACTCCGCCGTGGGGGCGCCGCGCACCCACTTTCCCTCCCCTACACCGCCCGCCGAGACTCCGCACCGGGCCCGCGTCCAGGGCACCGACCTGTGCAGCCGCGGCCGTTGCCTCGGAGGATGGAAAGACCCGCCGGCGTCACGCTCTGCCGCCACCACCGCCTAGGCTAGCGCCCGGCGACCGGAGCAGTCAGCGTCTCTCATTTAGCGCCAGCTGCCGCCGCGGCACTCGGGGGAGGGGAGTAAGCTGGATCCACCCCGTCCGCCCGGGGCTGGGGGAGGAGAGCAGACCTGGCGGGGACGCGCGCCGAGCGGGCGGGGCCCAGCCGCGCTCGCACACCAACGGAGCACGCTCGCGCCCGCCCCGTGAGCCGCGGCCCGCGGGGTCTTTCCCCGCGCGCGCCCCCGCCAGCCGCACTACCGGCCCGCTGAGCCCAACGGCCACCGGGCGCCCGTGGCCTCCGCGCGCGCGCCGCAGCCCCTCGGTCCGCGTCCATTGGTGGAGGCCGCTACCAGCCAAACTTGGAGGCGGGGAGGGGATCGGAAAGCAGGCAGGTGGGCCCCCCCTCCCGCACCGGCCCTCCGCAGTGAAATCCACGGGGCCGCCTGTCGGCTTCAGCTTCTGCACCTCACCTTCAAGGCCAGAGAACGAAGTCTGGAAACCCTCCGCCCCCACATCCAATGTCCTGCCCGCGCAAGCGGTGTTTTTAGAAGTCGCTGCAGCCCAGGGAGGGGGTTTGGAGCGTGAAGAGCCACCCCGCTGCCGTAGGATCATAAATTATGGTGGTCTGTACTCTCGCACACCAAGATTCGGCGGAAAGTGTTAGAAGAAGGCCTTTGTAAGTGTCTTGCAGGCTCCCGCCCCGGGCTTAATGAACAAATGACAGAAATCTGGCAACACCTGGGTCTCAGAATGATGAGCTGCAGGTGAACAGTATTTTCACTTCAATGCACGAACGAGATTCTGAAATACTAAATATTTCCTGCGAATGAAAAAGGAATAGATTTGGTATAAATGGTGGAAGGGTGTTGTTTCAGAGGGTGCAACTGCATGGGGTGGCCTACTTAAAATTAGCACCGTTTGATGCCGAGCGACTATAAATGGATGGTTTTAAGTGAGCCGCCTTTGTATAGGCTGTCATTAGACCATTTGTACGTGGATGATGATTTGATGACCCGTGCAGTCGCATGTGGAAGGCGTACCGTGTGCTAGCATTGGGTATAAAACATGAAAGGACTAAAATTGTTCCCACTTGGTTTCTTTCTTCTCTTTAATAACCATTAAGCAGAACTGACTGATCTTGTGTATTGCAGAGTGCTATTATGTTCTCTTTTGACTGCCTTGTGTCCTAGCCCTGTAGTTGGGGCGGCTGGAATGTCTGTCACCCCCTTCTAGGAAAGAGGGTTGTTTCTTTAAAGCCCCTTCACCCATGCACCCACCCGAGATAAGTTAAAACAAGAAAAAGGAAAAAACAGGGATAGGCAAAGTGCTTAGTTTTTCATTTTTATTCCATTTTCTTTTTAAAGAAAGTCTTTAAAAGAAGCATGATGAAATCACTGGGAGAAGTACAGAAACAAAAAGAAGGAAAAGAAAACAAACATCTTTCAAATGAGACTAGTCTGAAAAAACAAAAAAAGGAAAAGAGACAGTTGGTTAAAAAAAAGGGGGGGGTATTATATATACAGATGTTTTCCGTAAGTGTTAATGCTTCAAGTCCTGAAGAAACAATGGGCAAAGAGAATTAGCACTTGGAGGAAAAACTCTTCTGGTTATCAAGTTGGGTAAATGATTGGTTTTTTTTTTTTTTCCCCTTATGTGTTAGTAAGAGGTTAAGGAAAAGGTGGCTGGCTATGTGCCAGCAATAATACAATCATACATATTTTATATACAATTATAATGGGCTATTTCTTGAGTATATCTCATTATTGCTGCTCTTAAAAAATAGGAAAACTGAGGAACAAAAGGGAATTCTGTTCTGTATAAATGTCTTACAATTAGTTTAAACTTGAAATGGGGTTTCCTAAAAGCAAATGAGCTTGTGTTCCTACCTCTTCCAATAATTTTCAGTTTGCTGTAAGGGCAGTGAAGTTTCATTTGAACTCCGAAGAGGAAAAGCCATGTGACTCATGAAGCTAGGCCATTGATACACTGAATTCTTATACATACTGGGTTTCTGAGTTTGGAATAATTACTCAAAATCTGTTTCTCATGTTGATAACCTGTTAAATAATATTTTTACTAGCCTTTAGCATTGTGTTAAGTTAAAATTTATGAACTTGGTAAAATTAAGAATTTTGTGTTAAAAATACAGGAAAAAAGCTCATTCTGGGTGTCTTTTTTTGTCATAGTTTGGGAATTACTTTAGAAAGTCAATGTCCCTTCCCATTCATTGATATGCAAATAAAACAATAGCTTTATATGATTAAAAGGGACCAGCTGCAATATTTCCTTAGCATCTTTTATTACAGGTGAATTCTGTAAGTTGCTTTGTGAATTTCATTTGCTTTTGCCAAAAGACAAAAAATATGCAGTCTTAGTTAAACAAAAAGTACTAATGTATAAAATAGAAATGCCATTATATAAAATAGAATCCATGAGAATTCAATATGCTGAAAAGTCATTTCTGAGGAATCACCATTATGTAGCAGTTTTACTACTATCCATCAAAATCATTTCCAAGGGGTAAGCCAAGGAACTAATTTTGATAGGGAACAAGCAGTTTTGAAATCAAGAGACCACCACTGCAAAGCACAGCTCATCATCCCCTTACAGCTGTTGAAACAAACTCAGACTGGCATGGTAAGGAAGAGCATTATTCCGTAACATCTAATTCATTCTACTACAGCTGACAAAATAACAACATATACCTCTATTATTTCTCTAACCTTCCTTTTTTTCAAATATATACACATGTATTAGTGAGGCATTTTGAGAACATTTCTCAGTTTTATGTTCTGATTTAAAATGTAGGCAAAGTAGCATACCCAAAACCCACTGGTACTCCAGAAGTGTCTTAAAAACAAAAGCTGTGATATCAAGATGTCCACAGGAACTTGCAAGTCCCTAGTACCTTCTTCACCTTACATTCGCTGAGTCATAACTGATGCGGATGGTACCCACCATCGACCTTCCTGCCAGCCCTTTGAGTTGCTGTGCCCCTGGCACAGCTCTACCTGCATTCACACACACCTCCCTTTGAATTGTCTGGGCATGTTAGCCTGGGGGTAAAATAAGAGTGAAAAACTTCAGAAATGCAAAAACAACTCTGAGATGTTTGGCATTTACTTTGCATAGGGGCCATTTGCCTACTTTCCTCTGTTTTGAATCATTGAGTTTACTAGGTAAGCGAATTATCTTTGCATCTTACTTATAAAAACTTGAGGCATTGCTTTTCATGCTTCATTGAAAGGTCAGGATCTCTTTCAATAATGTTCGTCAGAGTAGTTTCCTTACATATCCTGCATTCAAAATAAGGTTAGAATTGAAAAAACCACAAAGTTTATAAATCCATATCAGTCATACATGTAACAGATAAACAGAGAAGAAGGAAGTCCTCTTGCTTATGGTGGTTGTTGAATGCCAACAGGTAAATAGGGAGGTTGTTCCAGAATTGGACAATCATTGTTTGGCAACCACTGTGGCAAACACTGAGTAAGGCAAACTCCGTGTAGGGTGAAGTTTTGATGAGGAACAGGATATTTGCACCATCTGACTTCTTCCCATGGACTTCTGATGGGTTGCAAGGAGGGAAAAACTGTATTTATACACAGGAGAAATTGGATAAAACCTTGAGCAGGTAATCAAAATTAACATCACGAAGGAGGAACAGATGGGCACTGTTTGCCTCAAGATGTGATTCCCAGAGAATGCAACATCTAATGAGGAAATGAGAAAACCTAATGAGGAATCTACTGACGAAATATCAGATAAACCCCCAGTTAGGAATTTTTTGCTGTTGTTTTCTTTCAAAGACAAAGGCTGTGGTATTATTCCAGCTAAAGGGCCAAGACAGCTAAAGGTGGCATGAGAGACTAAACTGGGTCCTTTGCTGGTGGCAGTGGGGAAGTGGATTCTATAAAGCACATTGTTGGAAAACAGAGAAAAAAATCATTGTATCAATGTTAAAATTACTGAAATTGGCAACTGTGCGGTGGCTATGTACCTAAATACTGCAGTAGTCGGAGTAAGGGACTAGGATGTGCGAGTGGCTGAGAAAAAATAATGTGTGTACATAACTATATATAGACAGAGTTGGGGGAAGAGAAAAGAGAAAACGAAAACTAATAAAACAAGTAAAATGTTAACAGTAGGGTACTCTGGGTAAAGGGTATTTCTATACACTTGAAATCATAGAAGCGTTTCTTACATGTTAGAATTTCAAAACAGCCGCAGCCGCAGCAGAAGTAATCCAGAGGCTGTAAAACACCATAATTACTTTAAACAGCCGCCCTACGCCAGATCCCACACGCTTCCTAAAATTGTCGACTACTCCCATGGAACTGTTTCATGTCTTGAGTTAAAATTATGGAGACGTTGAATTTATAATTTAAGAGTCATCTTTTCCGACCTTTCATTTTACAAATGAGGAAACTGAGGCTCAGAGATTCAAGATTCACCCGAAATCCCGTGACCAGTCAGCACAACAGCACAATCATGACTCTGCTTCCATCCCCACAACTGCTGGGCTCCTCACTCTCCTTGTCTTCCTTCCGAACTCTCAGTTTCCTAAGGGCCTCGTAACCTCTTCCTTTTGTGATCATCTGGGGAACTTGCACGGCCTTCTATTTTCAACCCTTGCTCTCTGCTGTAATTCCCACCCAGGCTACCGTACCGCGTGTCTGAAGGCCTCCATGACATCTGCACGAGGACATTCTACTGCCCGTTAAACCTTTCCAAGTTCAAAACTGAAATAACCGCAGGAGGAAGAATCAAAGTGACTAGTAAACCCTGTGAAATTATGTCCATCCTTACTGATCATCAAAGAAAGACAAACTAAAACAAGCTGCCTTTTGTGTAATGGACTGTCCCATTAATAAGATGTCTAACAGCCAGGGCCGGTCACGATGTGGGCAACACAGTCACGCGCTGATGTGGGAGTGTGAGTGATGTTAAGTCTTTGGTGGGAACTTTGCCAAAAGCAAGGAAAAATCGAAATGCATGTCCACTTTGACCCGGCAGT